CAATTTGTAGCATAATTTTAAAACAAAAGAGGAATAGAAATGATACAGAATTTTTTTAAAAAGAGAGGAAATTAACAGTAGTTAATATAGTGCATATTGTTGTCTTAGAAGTCGTGGTTCAGATTAGAAGATTTAGGCCTGAAAAAAATGATCGATCAATCAAACAATGGCATCTTGATGTTCTTCTTGATGAACTTAGAGTTTAGTAGTACAGTTATTTATCATATATTCATACCACACATGCATAGGTATGCCTATATACATATAATCTTTTCCCTTCTTCTATTTCTCCTTTCCCCTACTCCAGTGGTTCTTTTATTTTGAGCACTTTCACATAATCTTTTATGACTAACTAAAAGCAATGAAAATACCTAAAGAAACTGATTTATAAAAGATGCTAAAAGACTTAGTGGGAGATTGCTAATGCTCTGTATATACATTTGAATAAGCTTTCCATCTGACTTTAACTTGTAAACTTTTGCTGGACAGAAAATGAAAAATTAAAAACTCCCCAATTCAGGACATGTGAAATGTCATTAAATATAGCACAGAATTTTTGAATGTGTCAAATAAAAGAACTTATGCATCAAAGTGAAAATGGAATATCAATTGACAAGAATCGATATAGCTGGTACTTATTTACTCTGAGGCATATGAATCTAAAATTTCATTAATGCCTTAGCCTTTGAAAATACTGGAAGCAGGCTGGGGCTTTAGCTCAGTGGCATAAGAGCCTACCTGGCAAGTACAAGGTTGTGAGTTCAATCCCTTGTACCAAAAAGAAAAAAAGAAAGAAAATTCTGGACATTGGAAATGTATTAAGAAAATCAGTAAAAATTTTCTTTCTATTATTTGGAATGATTCCCACATAAGAATCTAATGCAATACTTCTGGACTATGAAAGGGACATTAAAACATTATCTCTTCCCATAGAAATCAAAAATATAAACTCACCTGACTTCTAAAGAGATTAGTTGAAGAAAAAAATTGCACATATTAAAAGCATGTCCTTTTGGCCCACCTTTTACTAAAATCTTTAAGTGTTGGGCTTTAATTCATCTAAATTCCTCAGCTCTGTCATCAGTGCTGTGACATTCTAATTTTCTGACTCAGTTGTGGTGAATAAGCTCTCCCTTTTCTTCTTGTATGCTTAAAGGAACTGATTTTGTGAGTTATGGTTATTTATTTCTAAAAACTGAACTATTGGTGTTTTCTTTTAGTGAAGTTTGTCTATCACCATTTGAGTCCCGTGAGTAGAAAAGCCCTTGGCCAGTTACATTTGCCTAGGCTTGGAATTAGTTAAAAGGAATGAGAGACTGACAACCCGGGTTCCGTTTTTAACCCAGCCAGATACCTCAGCTGGCAAGCTGCTCAGCTTCCTCACCATAAAATGGGTATAATAATAGCTTTCCTTACCACTGTGAAACATTTAGAATACAAATCAAGCCAAACCTGTCTCCTTCCAAAGAAAATTTTAAACCAGCCTGCATAATCCTGAATGAGCCCAGATTTTAAGGGGAAACATGAAATGGGAAACACCTAGAGGTAGTAAAATTTACTGGTAAAAAAAAAAAATGTAGACTTTAGAATAGTACAGACTTACTCAGATGCTAGTGGCTATGTGATTTGGGGCTACATTTCCTAATTTCTCAAATCTTTTTTGCCCTCTAATAAATTGGAAGTAACAGTGTTTTCTCAGTAAGGGCTGAACGGTACTGTGTACCAATGCTTCTCAGACTCTTCCATTTGGGTGATCATCAAATTAGTGATCTGAGTACCTTCTATGACAGCGCCAGAAACAGTTGGCCACCAAGTAAGACTTTTCAGGGAGGCCTCATGTATCACCCTGAAAATACATACAAATTTTGCTTTCTGCTTTACAGTGTATTCTTGTTTCACCAAACTAGAAGTTCCAAAAGGACAGGACAGATTATTTCTGTTTCTCCTGTAACATCCAAGAAACAGTTAGTGGGTAGAAGAATAAATTATGAATAAGAATTTAAGTTGGCCACAGAGCAAGCTGGTTCTCTAGGAAGTTAGCCATGGCTTAGTATTTTGTAGCTTTGTGCATTACTATGTTACATTCTACACATCCCTAGTTATACCCAGAGTCAAACTGGAGAAGCTTTTACTTCATTTAGATGCCTGAAATCACAAAAGATGCTCAGTAAATTTTAGTGACTCTATGATTTTTCTTCTCCATGCTTCTCTATCACAGTGTGAGTATGGATCTGTGGACAATTTAAAAAAACAAATTTTAAAAGGCTATGGAGATAAGCGCCTGGGAGACATTAAAGGAACCCCATGTGTCTCTGACCACACATGTTCACCCACTTGGAGTTCTATTTTTTATGTCTTCTTTACTTCTGGGTTCAGCCTGTTATGTTTTATTAAAACTTCTAGTGACAATGAGCTATGAGATTTAAAAAGGTTTTTCTCTCCACTCCCTCAAAGACAAGGGTAAGTAACCTAGGCTTCCTAGAAGAATTTTCAGGTGGTCTGGGAACTTCCTGAAACTTGGTATTTTTCTGGACAGAGGGATTTCCTTGAGAATCTCTGTCACCTCCAATTGTTGGAAACCACTGCTGCAAATACTATGTACAATGAAATTAGAATAAATTAGTCTTTAAATTAGAATTAATGATACTTATAATTCCTTGTATATAACAATTTGAACTGAACAAAAGTATATATACACAGGTTAAGACATAGTCTCAAAATTTCATAGAATATTTTAATTCAATCAAATAAGAGTCTTTTGATGTTAATGAGCATTTGTGAATTATATAAGTCTATGAAATTGAACTGTAGCCTTAGTATTGAATTTAGGATTAGTATTATTGGTTTATATTAATAAATAAGGACAATTGCATTCAACAAAATCTTCAACTTAAGTTGATTTTAAATTGTGTTAAACTGTGACATATACTATGATTTTCCCTTCATCTTGAATTCCTGTCTTTGACAGCCTGTGTGTCATTGGACATCAAGAAGGATCATTTTTCATTCCAGACCTTGATTGTATTAGTCAATTTGGCACAATTTACATTGATCTCTTTAGATCATATCAAAATTAGTTTTGACTAATTTCATGAATAAAATGCTCATTGAAATTTAGAAAAGAAAGTTACAGGTTTAGACATATTAATACAAATATTAAATATAGTTTTAAAAGAGCATAATATATTATAGAAAGTTTACTGCTTTTATAACATGCCACAGGAAAGTGGTAACGACATAGTTTATAGAAAATTGCTAACTATATTCTATATTTTCTCCTCCCCAGAAATTGAGTAAAAGGGCAGCCTCAAAAAGGGTGGTGGGCAGAGTTAGAGGGCAGAAAGAAAGAGAAGAAAGGAACGTGGGATAAAGTAAGAAAAGATGCTCCAGTGCAATAGGTTAGTATCTTGCCTAGTAGAAAAGACAAGAACATAGCAAGCTTAAAGCCTTAAAATCTTTGAATGCTAGTTTTTATTTTATGTTTAAATTTTGAATGAACTTTCAATAAATCAAGATAATTTAATTATCTTGCTTAAACTTTCCATTAAACTCATCAATTAGTGAAACAACTTGAAAGCATGGGAGATCCCCAACTTCTCTTGCATTAGCATGTATTTTGATCCAGGCTGTAGACTTTTTAACACTTCTCATCCCAGTAGGGGACCACCAACCTTCACACCTGTGTGCACATGGACAAGTTTCCCATTGACTACAAAGAGGAAGTCATTTCTTTCAAAATTTCTACAATAGTGACTTTGCTCAGAAACTTGATGGAAAGTGAAGTCTGTTAGTTATTTGCTTCCACCTTTTTCAGTAAAATGTTATTTCATCAGATCTCTTGACTGAGCCTCTTTTAATGAAGTGTGTATTATGTATTTCTGAAGGCTTTGTGTGAGTGGTTAAAAATTATCCTATCAGAGAGATAAGAATTCAGGCAGCGTGTGTATAGTTCTTGATATGTTATAATGAAACCTAATTGTAATATTTTGCTTTGTTTTTTCAGCACATCTATTTAGTTTATTAATTTCTTATAGATTTCTTGTTACCTTATTTGTATTCTTCTATAAAAGAATCTATCAAAATAATGATGGGCAGACTCTTCCTGTGATAAATTATTTTAATTTGATTTAAACTTCTAAAGGCAAATTTTAGATTTTAAACATAGATTATGAAATGTGAAGGTCAGCTCCTCCACCTATAATTTTTTCATTACAAATGTGTTTGCAGGCACAGACTGCAGTTTAACATCTGTTTGTCATATGACTTCCTATAGGCTAGTGAGATGGGTGGAAGAGGCAGGATCAGGGTGGGAAACCAGGACTTTGAGGCACAGCTGGCCAAGTTTTCACTGTTACTGAAGGTCAGCAACCTGTGGACGTGTCAAATTGTCTAGGGAACCTTTGGGGAAATAACCCTACCAAATTTACCATTAAAAAGTCATATTTTCTCAGGATTCAACTCGTCTTTGTCAAACTTAGCTAAAATTAGTGAGGTCTTGTGTAGCACAGCTTTTACTTGTCTTAGTGCTGCCCATTAGAACTTTTTGTGATGACAAGTAAATTCTGTCTCTTTGCTGCTCAGTAAGGGCAACCACTGATCAGTCACTGTTGAGCACTTGGAATGTGGTTAGTGTGACTGAGTTAATTAAATGGTTAAGATTTTCCGTTAAATTTTAGAGAATTTAAATTTTAAAAAGCAGTGGGCTAGTGGCTGTTGTATTGAACAAAAGTATAGTTCTAGAACAGATATGTTCTGACACAGATCAAAATTAAATTGACTAAGAAAGGTCTTGGCATTCTTTGCACTGGGAAGTACTATCTGGGTTGCCATAGCAGGGGTCACAGCTTTGGAAATAGATCTCTTTTACTTTGAAATACAAATGACAAAATCGGCTCCCTCCTTTGAGGGGGGAAAAAAGAGTCCCATTGATACTGGTTTTTCTTTCCCCCAATGTGTCATTAGTTTTGTTTTTAATTCCTTACTTTTTCTTTGTTTTTCAGTTCCTTGACCATCAGATTGTCAGCTACCCCTTCTCTTTATGTAAGTAAAAGTGGTTTATTCACTTTTTAAAAAACTGTATCAGCTGTGGGAAAGAAATTTTGGTCTTTATTGGCGTGTTTTCTGGTTGACTTTCTAGCTGACTTTGTCTCTGGTATTTGTTTAATATGCATTGTCTTCTTTCATGTTTGAAGTTGAAGCTTTTGGTAGCAGTGGTACATTACCATCCAGGTGGGAGCTAAAAAACTCCGCAACCCCAGCTAGTGTTCTTATGTAGACTGCCCTTTACTTGGCTACAACTGCTGTTTTCAAAAATCACTATTCTTCTAAATTGTGGCTTATATTTTTCCATCGGAAATTAGTCATGAGTTGGCTGCAGTCAGTGCACAATTATTTATTCTTTAGTTACTCACCTATCTGTAGGTCCAATCATTCTTAATTTTAACTTCTAGATCAGGGATTTCATTTGTTGGCAAAATTTATGATGTCTTTTTACTAAAGAATATAAGACTGCAACTTAAATAGGCTAAATTTTTGTGCATAGTTTTTAAAGTTTGGGAGGAATAAAAGAAGTCTAGGATTCATATGTACCAGTGAGCATTAAAAAGGTACCATTCTACTTTAGAAAAACATTGAGACTTCATTTAGGAAAAATAAAAGACACTTGATTTCAAGTGAAAAAAAATTTATTGTTGTTATTTTTAAAAGAACCAAACCAGGCTAAACTGCAAGGGTCTGGGTTTGAATGAATATTACTTTGAGTCTCTTGAAAGAGATTCTGGGACAGTAAAACCAAAGCATCAAAGTCCGTACAAGAGACTCTGCCCAAGAAATCCTGCAGTGAATAACAGTCAACTAATGTGATTACTAATCATCAACATCCTTCAGGCTGCATCCCATTTTCTTGATGCATATTGTCCTTTAGTCTCAAAAATTATATCTTATTTCACTGGCTCTTTATTCTGAGGTATTCCTTGTGTTGTAATTATCTATACAAAAAACAGGTTAGCTTGGTTTTTTTCCTTATGTGTGGTTTCCACTAACATTTCTAGGAGCTAATAGCAAATATATTTAGGAGACCTAAGTCCTGTAATGGATTGTAAGGCTAAAGCCTAATGTGACATTTTATTTGACAGAGAAAGGAGACTGATTAAACTCTCCAAATGCTGCTGCTTTGTGTAATGTATTCATACAACAGGGACGGATCCTACCTGCCCCTGACGCGTCTTGTTATTCTCTGTTCTTGGTGTTGATAGAGTGGGTCTGTTAAGGCTTTGGAACATGTCAATGTGCGTGCCTATTGTTACCATTTTATTTATCTGCATCCTTCTCCTCAGTTACCTAGCACTGCATATTTCTAATCTTCTGACTGGCAAATCATTTTTTTGTTGCAGTTCTTTTGTGTAAAAACAGTTCACATCACAGCTCTGTGTTACACAGGCATTAATCCTCACATCACCAGAATGAGTCAGCACTATGCACTCCTGCCTGCACAACTCAGCTGTTATGACGTCAGTGCTTGAGGGCAAGCCTCAGACACAAGCAGTATAAGAGATCTATGTCACCTATTAAAAATCGAGGCGAACTTTGAGATAAAAGACATAATTGAAAGGCTTTGTCTGGCTCATAGGAAAATGTACAATTGATTCTGTGCTGCATCAACCATCAGTCAAGCACCTGCTAGAGAGATCGAATTTTTTTAGCCAGATATAAGAGGAGGGCCAAGACTGATAGTGAGTTGATAATTAATTCATGTACTCATGATCTTGTTGTACTGGGTCACAGTTCTTGTTGCTTGGATTCTTCCAAATTCTAAGGTTGCTTTTATGCCAGAACGGTGACAATACTACTGTCCTCAAGTGCCCTGAGGATACAGCTGTTGCTTCAGGGATGGTGCCACAGAGGCCCATCAGAAAAACAGGAAGAGTGGCTTGTGAGCACATCAGAACATTATCTCCCCAGCGCTTCTCACTCCAAGTACCTATTCAATGGCCTTCTCTGGACAGATGCAGAATCCAGCTGTTTTGACCTTCTCTCTCACACACTGCATTTAGTTCAATGTCCCAATGTGGATTTGACTCAGATTTCAATAGGAACTGAATAGCTGCTGTATTTTTCCCCAAGTGTTTTCCTTTCAATTAGTCCTTAACAGAACCAAGCAAGTGAACAAACAAAAGGAATCCACCATAACCTACCATGCTGTCTCAAAGCAGGTAGCAGAGAGGCACCCTATTTGGGAAACCCACCTATTATAATTTAGGCCTTTCCACCTTTCAGACTGAAGCACACCCTTCACATAATACCTTTCAGTATGGAAAACCACATTGTAAATGGTGATGATTTACTGCCTTAGTGATATTCTCTGTCAAAAAAAAGGCATCTCTCCATCGCAGCATCCATGCCCCAATCAATCATCAATCCCTTTGATACCATCAGAAAGTGCCTCACTGCTGAGCTCCTTCATGAGATGGATAATAGTTTCCTAACCTGCTTATAAGAGCTAATACTATTGTATGGCTTAGTTTTGATACATTATCATGCATAGATCTTTATTTAGTTTTCAGTCAACAAACATTTATGGAAAATTTGTTACCGTGCCTGATTCTGACAACTCCAAAATAAAAAAGGCATCCCTTTTTAAAAAAAGTGTCACAGTGTAACAGGGGAAATAAATAAATGAATAAAGACTGTTTTATATGGTACGCACAGGAATATATGTATATACAAGTGTATGAAGAAGAATGAGGAAAAAGTGCCCACCTGCATGTGGGTAAGTGCCCAAGATGACTCTTAAAGTGAAAACAGTGAACAGCAGTGTACCAGCTGGATAGAGGGGAGGTAACAGAAAGATGACTCATAATCAAGAAAGAAACAAAAACATTTACAAAGTCAAGAGGCATCAAGTTAATCAGATGCATAGTGATTTGGTGTTGTGGAGCACGGTAAGGTGATTGAAAGAGAAACATGACAGATGGAGTTGGGAAAGCAGGCAAGAGGTAGATCTCAGAAGGCCTGTGTGCCATGCAGAGGGGTTTAGACTTGTTTCTGTGGACTCAAAGAGATTTTTAAAATTTTAAAGCAAATTAAAATAATGAAAAAAGCTCTCTAGTGATAGAGATAGCTGATTGAGAAGAGAGAAACTAAGTCAAGGTGAGAACCAGGGGCCCCAACTGTTCAGCAGAGCTGGAGGAGGGAGGAGAGGCTATTTTGCAAGTGTTTACGTAGGCATTAACATTTGCAGAATTCCAGCATATCTTGGCCCATTGCATACATCTGGTCTTCTAGGAGAAAAGTTAATATGGTATGTGAGGGCAAATTTCAGACCAAAAGACATCCTTATGGGAGCTTCATAGGAGCATTTGACCTTACTGCGAGCCTGCTGGTCTCCAGGACTGTGGGTATCTTGCACAAAGTAAGAATGAAGCAGATAAAAAGAAAATACTGCCAGTTTCTAGCTTTTCTTCCACCTGACAATGAAACCAATTCTTAATAATGTCTCCTTAAAGTTAATTAATGCCTCAATTTCCTATTTTCCCAGTGCTGTTTTTTCCAAGCAAAATTTTCAAACCATTGAACTGAATTGCAACTTACGCACAGCCGGGTGTTGAAACAGTAAAGTATATTCATTCCTTCTCTCTCAATGAGAGTTCACCATAAGTGTGCTTTTCTCTTGTTCACTTTGGGCTGCCAGGACAGTTTAAAGGAAATGTTCAACAGCTTATGTCTCACGTACCGTGTTCATAAGACAAATGGAAGGATCTGCGTGGGTGTGTTTAAGTCTTCTCTGTATTGCTTCCTACAGAAAGGTTTGAGGAGATGAACCAGACGAGGAGTAGAGACCTGCTGAAAGCCCAGGTCCCTCAGTGACCTGAGTGCAGAACATAGGCTGGTGATCAGATGGTCAATTATGTGTTTGTCAAAACACAGTGGGCTGCATTCCAGACTGCCAGCTTTGGAGACCCAGCTTCTGCCAACCAAATGTCATCTGGGAACATGCAACACTGGGCACTGTGAAAGAGTTTGAAATAGACCTTGCCACAGCCAACCTACTGCCACTCTTATAGTACCAATATGGCATGCACAGCCGGGCCCCATGTTTCAGAGCTCAGGAATTCACTGTACTAAATTCAGGAGGTCAGATGGGTTCATGTTTTCAAAGCCTATGTTCTCTGCTTTTAATACTGTGACTTACTCCTCAGCAATTTCCAGGGGATTTTTCCAGTCACATCTCTGTGCAAACCACTCTTTTTGTGATTGTTATGAGAGCCTTGTAAATGTCCTGGAGGAGAGGGGAAAAAATAAACTTCTCTGACAATGACTGTGATTCCTACACGGGATTCCAACTCTTAGGAAATTACATTAAAGGTGCATAGCTTTTAAAATATCAGGAACCACCTTGGCAACTTACAAAAAGCAGAAGGGCTTTGCCTATTTTATAAAGTGATTTGCATATACCTGCATAAATAATGTCCCCACCTGTACTTTTATGCATTTAGGTTGAATAAATTAAATTCAGTGATCTTTAAAATATTCACTGTCTTTCATTGCTAAGACACCATTTTCAGGACCCTTTCTCCTCTTTTTTTTTTTTTTTTTTTTCCTTCCCCTTGTGATGTTAGTGGCTAATTTTTTTCCAGTTAATTCACAGAATCAAAACACTGTGAAAGCCGATCTACCATAGGCAGGAGTATCATCTCCCTCTGCTTGAATTCCTTTAGATTTCTGTCCATCAGGCCATGAGTTACAAATATTTTTCAAACAAAAAATGCTGGGATATATTACTAAGATGAAAAGATGGCACGAGATAGGATTAAGCTTTGCTTCCTATGTATACAATCAGACTTGCACTCATAGCCACTCATGTTAACCTTTCCTTTCTGTGAAAAATGCCACAGCCACTTCAGAAACAATCCAATCTCATATCAATTTTAAATTGGGCCTTCAAGCTGAAGCCTGGTCAACCATGTTCATTCCAAAAGATATTATTAAGCATGTACTATGTACAAAGCATCATGTTTAGTGGAACATTAAAGCATAAATAT